ATACATGCAAATTATTGTCCCCCTCTTTGTTGTTGTTATCACAACATTTTGGCTGTAGTGCCCTCCAGTCTTTCTACAGTGTCTTGCAGTGCATCGTTCAGTGAGGTTCTTGCTCATATAATACAGTTCTGCATGTTTGTGGGTGCTTTCTATTTTATTTCTGGACTCATATTATTTCTGGACTCATATGACCATATATGTGGTTTAGTTATTAATGACTTACTGTTTCTGGATTTCTCTTTTTACAATTCCATCACATTTTAGCCCCAATTTCTGTTGTTTATTTTTAAGGCCTGTTTTGATCCATAAATAAAAGATATTGTAGTAAATTGAGCCAGTAACCTGTGTATAGGCTTTTTAAGAACATCATATCTCTAAAGCTGTTCACACATAAATACTCTGTTTATTAGTTGAACTGTGAATAAATATGTGTGTGTGTGTATTTATATAGTATTTTGATTTTAATATGTCTACTTTACTATTTAGTCTTAAAATAGGCTACTACTTAAGCTTTTTTATGTCTGTGATAATAATTTAAAAAAATTCTTCTCCCTATTTAACAAGGCATGTGTACTTGTTTATTTTTTCTTTTTTTATATATTATTGTTCACCCAATACAAGGCTCAATAGCGCCTCAAGGTAGAGGGTTACTTAATGAGATTGTTGTAAGTGTGTAAAGGGAGGAAGTAAGAAGTGCATATTATGTAGGATAGATAATGGTTGACTTTAGACTTGAAGAAGTTAAGATTGTAGTGGTTAGGGAAGCATCCTCTCGGGAGTCTTCCATAAAGTGACACTTTTGGAGAAGAAGCTGTCTGAGTGAAACTTCCTCCTTATCAATGGAATACAAAGAGAATGAGGATATTTGTCTGAGTTTTCTGGGATGAGGAGTTACCATTATATACATGCAGACTATTACTTTCTTCTTTGTTGTTATCACAATATTTCAGCTGTTGTGTCTTCCGGCCTTCAAGTGATTGTCAATTCAGGAAAACCTTCAGGGAAGTTTGAATGGAACTCTCTATTTAATCTGTGGAGGTAGATTGTTTTCATACAGCTGTCCATGTCTACGGTTATCTTGTCTAGTTCTTATTTAGTATTGCTCAGTTATTGCTTGCTCCATTCCCATCGAGTCAAAGTACACGGCCCAAACCAGGGATTGAACTTGCAATTATTATGTCATTATATCCATGAATCAATGCTTTAATCTACTAGGCTATTGTCCTGTGAACATGGACACCTGAATCAAAACAATCTGTTCCCATAGATTAAACAAAGGAATTTGAAATTCCCTGCAGGCTACATACATTGGCAATCATTAGTGAAAGCTGTAAGTCACAACAGCTGAAACGTTGTGATAACGACAACAAAAATGGGGACAATAGTCTGTATGCAAATAAGAATGAGGTTGATTTGATTGTGTGTGGCATGGCAGGTCCTAGCTGTGGAGGTCTGAACTGGTGGAAAAAAAGAATGTAGTTCGTCAGAACATTTGCCACAGAAATAAAGTTTATCATTAAAAACAAGCCTTTCACCTCTGAATTTTACAACTCCAAAATAATCTGCCTGGGGTAAGGTTAAATAATACATATCTAATTCAACACTAAACTTTTTGGTATAGAACCGTTTAATGTTTAGTTCCTGTATTAGTTGTAGTTAGGTCCTTTTTATTATTTTTATTTTTTTATTTTTTATTTATTTTTTATTTTTTATTTATTTTTTTATTTTTTTAAACCTTATTTGACTTGTAAAATACCAATTCCTTTTTAAGCTAATATCAATGCCATTTAAATTAACATTATTCTATAATTCTGAATTATTCTTCCTGGCTCAACTCGTACTAATTTGCAGGAAAGTCCCAATGCAAGGTAACAATATAAGGTATTATTAAGAAGACAGATACTTTGAATATTTGACAAATTTCTGCAAGTGCCTATTTTCTCTAACTAGTCCATGTGGGATATATTCTATGCTATGTTATATAAGTGTGTGTGTGAAAGAAAGTTTGAGTGAGTAAGTAAGTGTGCGTGAGTGATAGTATCTACCATTGGCAAGTTTTGATCTTGATTCTGTCTTTGGTTAAATAAAAAAAAAAAATGTAAACATTCCAGAATTAATATTTATATTTGCTAAGGTTCATTGCATTTCTTTGGTTTTATAATAAACTTTTGAAATAAACATTTCTGTATTAGTAAACATGTTTTGTTTCTTTATTTAATTTATTTGTTAATTGTTATGACATTAAATGCTGAATGGCTTCAGCATTTGCCTTTTCTCAGTGCATACATGCTCAATAACTTGTCTTACAATGCTTTTTTTTTTTTTAATCTTTTATTAGTTTCGAGTAATTTTAAATAAGCCAAGTCATGCTTATAAAATTAAAATTTTGAGGCTTATTTCATGTTGTAGATGTGAAACTTTACTTTTAAAATAAAGTTGCGTTAAAACATGACTTAGCTTCAAGTTTACTAAAGTTGTGTTAAAAAAAACCCAAATCTCGTTTCATGCTTAAAATAAGTTTAATTTTGTAGACTAATTTGATCCTTGTCATGCTCATAAGCTTCCTGCTAATAAAAAAAAAACCAAAAAAAAACAGACTAGGCTTGCATTTATAACTGAGCCTTTATTCTGAAAAGCTGACAACTTTCACCTACTACTAGCACCACCTCACCCCAACTAGTCACACAGTAGGAGATGTCTATAACTGACGGCTAGTTGGTTATTTTAATGATATATCAAGTGTTTGTGTTGTTTTATATATGTCAAATATAAGTCTTATAGCACAAAAATTACAAATTAATAAATAGGTAGACATCTTGCATTGCTTGATGGAACACGACGCTGGTTACTTTAATTTTAGCTTTTTAAAATGGCTGTGACAAATCGATGTTTAGAGTAGACATGAGCCAATAAGCAAACGGATACTGTTCCTACAATAGTTTTGCAGTAATATTTCCAAGATATAATGCAAAAGGTATGGTGACCGATTCTCGGTACCCAGGTGCATGATACTTTGTAAATCTCACCCTAAGCTGCTGGAAGTTCTTGAAGATATGCACTTGTACCGTAAAGGTCTCGTAATTTTTCTTGTTTTGGAATCTGGGAATTACTTACTCATGCAATAAATTGGCACCCAACCAATTAATGTAGATACCAGTAAATACCTTGATTTGTCTTTTATTTAAGTGAGTAGGGAACGGAATCCTGACGCTAAAAAAACTCTTGTCCAAAAGCGGAAGTTATATAAGGACTGCTAAAGATGTTGGTTAAATCATCATGGTAAATATTGCTCGAAAACTTGCTACTGGAAGAGGTGAATAAGGGCGATAATAAACAGCAAAATTGTATTTGTCCTCATCTTGACCTTTAAATGAAATCATTTGAAAGAAATAACTTCAGGATCACAGTTGGTGCTCGAGAAAAAACAAACAAACAAAAAAACGCTGATCACGTGTCTCGTAACCCATTAGTGTTGTAAGGGCCTCACGCGTACTGCACCTGTTACAATAGTGGTGTGTCTTAGGCAGGATAGCCTGACAGGGCCCAAACCTCTCCAGGCTGGTTTGAATTCAGAGGTTTCCTTCTCCTACACTGGTTGCGAACCAAGGCTAGAGGGCCTATTCTATCATGCTATTTACCCATAGGTGGGGAAAAGATGGATAAAAGGATATGCAACAAGTGAATGTAACAAATTTGGCTGGAATTCAAACTGAGCTCTCAGATTTCTCATTCTGAATCCCTAGTATCTTGGTATTAAATGTATATTTTGATCATGTTTTTATTAATGAATTAAAATAAGTCAAGCTATTGTTAATAAATAACTTATTTTCGCGAACCCGTGGTAAGTGTGCTGGTTTTTGAAAGCTATTCATACTAAGTTGAGTCCAAAGCTGGAGTCTTAGCATTGCAAATAAGACTTCCAATGAAGGCCTCTTTTTACGATTATACAGCGTGGGCCAAAAGTAGGTTTATAATTAGTATGTTTGCACTTTATATTTTTTTAAAATATTTTATTACATTTATATTTATTTGTTACAATCATATTTGTTCAAAACTGTTTATGTACTTAGATTTTTTTAGCACAGTTTAATCTCTGAAGTGCTCAAAATGTACTCCTTCAGCATTGCAAAATTTCTTGAACCTCTCCAACACACTATGACACACAGCATGACACAAATCCCAATCTGCATCAATTTCAATAAATACTCCTGAAATGTACTCTTTTAATTCATCCACTGTGTGGGGATTTCTCTCATAATCTTGTTCTTTACTACCTCCACTCGCAAAAAAAGAAAAAAAAATCTGTTGGTGTTAGGTCAGGTGTACATGGTGGCCATTCGATGTTACCCCTTCTTCCAAACCGACGCAGAGGAAAGGTTTGGTTAAGGTAGTCTCTTACTGCTAAAGCATAATGGGAAGGTGCTCCGTCTTGCTGAAAGAACAGTTCGGTGAAGTTAATTATGATTTGGATAAATTAGATCTAAAACATAAAACAACTGTAAGCCTACTTTTGATACATCTTGTATAAAGCATTTTACTCCGAGAATGAAATGTCTTGTTTTTCAAGTTTTTATGACTTAAAAAAATATAGCTCATGAGGATAAGATGAAAATAAATTGAGACTGTAATTGTGACGAAGGTGAAATTTAATGGGAAAATTGGTTGGTTGGTTTGTTTTCGTGTGGATACATAACATTTTGTTCACAAAAATATATAACATTTTTTTTTTTTTTGTTCACTGCTTGTCGGGGAAAAAAAATGAAAATAGAAAATTTATAGATGAAAAGTTTAAAGGGTTGAAAAGAGAAAAGACGGGTAGAAGCGTAAGCATATTGTCAGAGTAGATCAGAAAATGAAGATCATTTTCTTCTAATTTTTTAATTTCATCGATATTTTTCCTTTTAAATCCAGAGAATTCAGTTATGAAGTTGTTGATTAAACGCTTGTACATCTCAGGATCACCAGCAAACAGTTTACAAGTTAGGACTCGTAGCATATATAGGACCATACCATGTCGAAACACCGGTTCTCGTACGATCACCGAAGTTAAGTAACGTCGAGCCTTGTCTGTACCTAGATGGGTGACCACTTGGGAATACCGGGTGGTGTAAATGATGATGGCTGGAATTGGAAATCATTCGTATCTCCAAAAAATTCTTAAACTCTAAATTTTTTCTGGCTTTAAATAATCTGCAAAAAGTTGATAAACTGTAAAAGAAACATTCAATCAAAACATATGTAGTTATTTACTACGTAGAGCTTAGTTTGACACAGCATCATAATTATGAAGCACCTATCGAGTATCAAACTCTCCAAAACGTATATAGTTAGGAAAGTGAACCCATATTCATGACAGACTATTAAATAGACCGCTCGAAGGAAACTCATTTGATCAGGTCACATTTGAAGTACATATTTAATTAATTTAGTCTGACACAAGTTCTCAACAGTGGAACATTTATAAAAAAAAAAATATGTGAAAAAAATACCGAGTTCTGCCTTTTAAGCGAAGAGATTATCAACCAATGAAGTTTTCGGATGTGACTTTTTTTTATAAGCCTTGATTCAGGGCCTGATCGTGGCGACACTGTTTGACTCAGGATGCTAAAAAAAAAAAAAATATTGGGAAAAAAAGCTCCTCCTGTAGATTAATTTCCCACGAATTGGAAAAACAGAATTTAAAATTTGTGATAGTTTGAAAAGATGATTTCGTGAGCCTGCTGACCAAAATATAAAAAAAATATCGTCTACCGGTTAAAATCGCTATTCATCCGCCCCTTGTCAGAGTGAATAGTCAGGATAGATAGAGTCAAGTGAATCAACATTTTCAGCATGAAGAGAAGATAACTTTAAACTCCAAAACAGAACGTGGCCAACCAAAAACTCTGGCCAACATAACGAAAATGAAATCTATCAATTTGTTTTTCTCAAATGACCTTCAAGTAGACCAAGTCCTTCTCGAAGATATACCGCTGCTATCATAATTCTTTATTTGGCATACCTTTTATTCTAGAACAGACACTTCGCTACAACGATTGACCAACCGACCCATAACAACAGCGTGTGAACTTTCACTGTATCCCTCACTCAATGACATTTTCTAAATCTGGAGCAGTCTTCTCTACCTATTAAGTGCTAAAAAGGACAGGAAATTGTAGCTAGTCATGATCGTCAACGTCCTGATGGGACACGGCACACAGAAGAAGAAGCTTAATTTTTATTGGGCTCTAAAAAGATTATTTTAGGCAAGCCTTTATCTTTACATCTTTCTCTTCTTTTCACATGAACTTATTGTAAATAATTCTGTTTCAATTTCGCACATAATAAGAGTCCTTTTTGTGCGCCTGATACATTTGGTAAGGACCAGATTCACTAATGTATCTGTCTATATTTCTGAGATGAGGTATCATGTACACTATTTACATTATGCGAACTATTGTCCTCATCTTTGTCGCCATATTTATTACAGCATTTCGGCCTTTCAGTATCTGTCTATATTTCTGAGATGAGGTATCATGTACACTATTTACATTATACGAACTATTGTCCTCATCTCATTATTTCGCTCACTGCGGTAGACTGTTCTAGTTCCACATGCCATGTTTTAATGGATGCCAGTTATCAGTTATCTCCTGTTAATTCCCCTCTCCAAGTTATCCACTACCTTAACCGGGTATTGAACTCACACTCTTTGTGTCCTGTCACTGGATCTAACCAACGCCTTTACCCACTCTGCCATGTGTCCTTGAGGAAGGCAGTGGAGAACTTGGAGAGGGGAATTAACAGGAGATAACTGACACCCATCAAACATGGTACGTGGAACTAGAACAGTTTACCCCAGTGAGCGAAATAAAGGGTTCAGTTCGACATTCCAACCACCTGAAGAAGGCCGGAGCGTACAACGGCCGAAACGTTGTAATAAATATGGCAACAAAGATGAGGACAATAGTCCGAATAATGTAAATAGTGTAGATTCACTAATGGCTTGTGATATTAGCTATCTCTCTCCAGCAAATATTACCTGAGTCTATCACATGACCTCAATAGTTTTAATCCCAATAACGATTAAAAGTACGCGCAATGGCTTGCGATAGTAACTAACTAATCAGCACTTGCTAGTAGTCTATTCATTTTATTTAATGTCTTTTATTTATATAACACGCATGCAGGTAGGGTGAAATGGGTCATTTGGTTCGTCTCTTGACTGACTCTATTTTCACCACTGAGCCAGGAATGCAAGTGTCATTCTTATTTCAATAGATACTACTGGAATCATTAACTAACTTTAAAGTTGATGAACAGTCTAACGCTTAGTGACATAGGCTATGAAGAATTTATTTACAGTTTATAAAACCGTTTTCGGGATCGACCCAAAAAAGTGGATAAGGAATCAGTTATATTACATTGGAGCTATGACCCGCTTGGTCAAGCAGTGTGACATTATCAACAATATTCTAGTTCACAGATAAAGAAAAAAAATATTTTTTTTTTGTATGTAAATACATTCCAGTTGAATTCACACAATTGTTTGAAAGTTAAGTTACGAGTGACGAAAGCAAAAAATATCCAGTGACGATATTATATTAAATAGTTGTCACACAACCATGGTTTATCTTTGTTTAAAAAAGGCGGGAAAACAGCTGGCGTCTGAACATTGTAAGTAATACTTAAAATCAAGGTCGCTTTTTATGATTATTGATTATACCATTTTACCTCGAGAAAGAAATTTCTTACTTTTCAAGTTTTTCATTGCTAATAAAAGGATAAAGTAACTTATGTCGATAATGTGAAAATAACTGGAGAATGTGATTGTGAAGAAGTTGAAATTTAATGTGAAAACTGATTGGTCGGTCTGTTTTTGTGTGGACAGATAACCTATTAAAAGATATGAGTAAGAATGTCTGTTCGTATAAATGAAGAATGTTTGTCAGAAAAAAAAGAAGAAAATACAAAACTAACAAAGGCTTTAATACTACAACAAGAAAAAAGGCAGGCAGAAGTGGAAGCATATTGTAACTTGCAAAAAACTAAATGAATTTATTACATAATAAGAATGGATTAAAACTTATAATATGTCTTGGCTCCTTGAGGTAATGATAAGCAAGGCTAATTTGGTTGACTATTAATACTAAATAGAGAATTCAATCCTCATTTGGAGCGCCATACAAAATTGAACATTGACCCAACAATAATTGACTTATCGTAAAATCAACCAACTAACTAGCAGAAGATGTCTAGTTCCCTCGCAGTTGTGAGTTCAATCCCTGGGCCTGGTGGTGTTGTAAAAGCCATATACTCTGGTTCAGCCTACTTGCCCACAGTGGAACTTCTGTCAATGCGCGGATGTCCCAGACTTCCGAGTTTCTAATTAGGGTTATTAGGATGATCCCAGGAACTTTGCAAAAGTTCCTGGGGGTCCTTCGTCGACGGAGGTAATCTTGAATAAAGTCCTCATCTGTGAGGAATGGTCCATCTCCATGACCTTCCTGTCTGTTTATATGGCGTCTCCACTGGGGAATCCCTTTATTCGGACGTTGGGGGATGGAGATGGCGGAGCTGTAGAGAGAGAAAAGAGGCTTCTGATCTTATATTCATATATATATATATATATATATCTTCATTTCTTACTGGCGAAGCAAGGGCAGATTAAGTTCTATAGCCCGCTCGCCACTGCTTCGACCAGATTTTCTTTCTTTCTTGATAATCTTCTACTCTTCATCATCTTCCTCCCTTCTCTGTTTTAATGAGAAGGACTGAGGTGGAGGCATATGCTCCACATCCATGTAGAGGTCGAGCTGTAGCAGTGAACCCTCCACCTCTTCCAGATTTTGAACCAGCTACTGTTGTTGCTGAGGTTGCCACGTTTGCAGTTGTTGCTGCTGCAGCTGCTTTTGTTGTTGTTGCTGATGCTGCTGTTGTTGCTGCCGTCACTGATTCTGATGTTGCTGCTGTCGCTGCTATTGTTCCGGTTGTTGTTGCTGATTCTGCTGTCGCTGCTTTTTCGGATGCCGTTACTTCATTGCTGAAAACTTCACTGGAGACTTTGGTTGCTGCTGCGTTGGTTTCCCCTTTGATTGTAGAACATCCTGCTGTTGCAACCTTCGATCTCCTCTCCACAACTTATTTCCATCCACTAAGACCATTGAGGGCCTTGTCGGACATTTCCTCCCCACTTTACTTCATTTTAAGATGATGATTTCGGTTAAGGTTGTGGCACTGGGTCACGCCTTTGACAAGTGTCCGGTGGCGCCACAGGACCAGCAGTGGGGTATACGGCCTTCAACTATAACAAGGATCGTCCGGCCGCGGCAAGTCAAAGTATCGGGGATGTCCAGAAAGCTTTTACGGGTCATTGTCACTTGGATAACAAAGTCCCCGGTGGTAATGCTCGCTTTGCTTATGGAAGAGGATACATCCTCGACTTGTCCATAAGTAGAAAAGAATGTCCCCATGGGTACCCCGTTAGAATGATCCTCATCTTGCGGGTTCCCATGTACTCCGTTTGGAGTCCTACCGCCTTTTTAGTAAGGATACTCCCCGCCAATTACTTCGCCTCGTTGTCTATTGCCAGCAGGATGTCCCACACAGCACTGGAACGTGTGGTCAAAATTGTTGGCCCAATCTTCAGGTTTTTAATACCTCTTCCATCGTTTCCATGCTAATACCAGTTAATCATCGATCAACAGGGAGATGGCCCTGATGCTGACCTTGTACAGGACTCATTACTGTCAATGTATTACCGGTAATTCTCCTGCATATTGGAATAGTACTGGGCATCATTTTAGGGTCTATTGAAGGCACAACTGATTTCTCCGGTGAAGCTGGTTTCACCTGTCCATCCTAGTGGCTGGGAAGATTCTGCCATTTCGGTCAGGGCAACACCACAGCACAAAACACGGAACTAAACAAAAAGTTCACAAACAATATAACAAAACAATATAACAAAACAAGTAACAAATTTGTCAACAATAAAGACTGACCTTTTCAATCAGGTCAAAGGGGTCAGAAAGATTCAATTAGATTGCAAAATATTCCCCACTCCCCAATTTATTGGCAAATCCACACAGATGCATGATAGGCCACTTCTCAGCCTCATCCGACTTAGTTCTG